GCGATTGCTATTAGGTTGGACGCCATTGCTAGTAGGTTGGAGGCCATTGCCGATCACCTCAACCTGAATTCATTTCGCTTCCTTTTTGTCCTGGCAGCCCTAGTGGCCACGGCCCGCTTCGGCCACCCTTCATCGCTTCAGTCTTCGTCACTCACAACGGCTGTCACGATTCGCCCCCTTTGGGGGAGCATCGCAACGGCTCAAAGTGTGGGAGCGCAGCTGTAGGGCAGCTCAGGGCTTGGAACTGGAACTTCATCAGACTTCACAAAAAGAAATCACCACATCGGAAGCCGTCGCATCACACATCATCAAATGATCTTGCATCACTCAACAACAGATCCAAGGGTGTCATCCACATCACAACGCTCCGAAAGTTTAGATGTGTTTGTTCTTTTTTAACTTCCGCCCACCAGCTCTGCCGTAGGATTACCTTGTATAGCAGTATTGACCAACTACCATGTTGAACTGGCAAGGCTAAAACCTGGTAATCAAAGTGGCTGAACGTGAAACCCTTTGAAAAATAGAACATTTGAAATAGAAAAATGTGCGTTTTTAAAACACGTGACGCCCCGTCCCCTCCAGACGAACTCCGTCTCTGGGCAACCGGACGGTCCTACCAACGACCCGCTGCGCAGAGCGAGCTTTGCTAGCTCAATGCAGCATTGGTTCAAGCGCTGCTCAGGTGGCAGAGCTTTTGGGGGTCAAAAAAGGCGATGCAGTTGGGTGTGTCTCAGAAAACTCGATCCATCGTGAAAATCATGTTGACTCATATGATTCTGTATGATCATCCCTTGAACTAACTTTCTACGTTGTTGTCCCAAGACATTCAATATTGGCTTTTGTGGCTTTTGTCCAAAACGTTTAATCTTGGCAGGAAAAATGCCTAGACAGCAGCTAGGGTGGTTTGGGGTGCCGTGAATTCCAAATAAGGCCCGTGTCCAAACAAACCAGGGTGGCCCGATTTCGAGACAAACCCATTTCCAGCGTTGCAGATCGGAAGGCAACTCTGAAGGGTGGGGAAAGAGTGTTTCGAGCCCGAATTTGCTAGAGTCGCAAGGTTCTTGAACTAAACTCAGTAAGAACATCTTTTTAGGACCAAAGCCAGTGGTTGGCCATCCTGGCCATCCTGGCAGGCTGGAATTCAAAGGCTGGTCACCTTGGTTCCGGATACTCTTGTGATCCATTCCCAAGACGTCTCACACAAAAAAATTGTTGCATGACTATTCCAGAGCCCGTTGGCTACAGGAAGCCCATGGCAAGCGCGCCCACCAAAAGGGGCACGGTAGCAGAGCTGGCCGTCCTCGGCTCCAGACACAGAAAACCGACGAACATACAGAAGAAAACATCGGAAGTACTCAGGAGGTCTTCTGAGAACTCCTAAAAATCGAAGCAGGTATCAAACCATGCACTCCAACCTAATAGCAATGGCCTCCAGCCTAGAAGCAATGGCCTCCAACCTAAGAGCGATGGCCTCCAACCTACTAGCGATGGCCTCCAACCTAGTTATGGTTGGAGGTATCAAACCATATGAAACCCACACATCTTCAACCACTCCATCCATCACTCGGCCTATTTCACTTGTAGATATATAGTTCCCCTCGTCAGCGAACACCGAATGGGATAGCATAGCAAACCCGCGTAGAACAAAGAGAACATATCTGGAATGACGAAAACCGGCCACTGATCAAAGCCTTCCGAGGCGGAAAAGAATCCAAAATAAAGGAACGCACCAGTGTCCTTGGTAGGTCATTGCCCTTCGGAGGTGTTGACCAATCGAAATCCGACACAACGAGACGTCTCGGTGTTTAGGTGGCTCCAGTGCAAGTCTGTTAGTGATTCTGATTCCCCTTTGAGCAATGGACCACTAAGCCATCCTCAAGTAGAACTATGTGCAATATGGAGCAATTGGAGGTACTACTGCAGATGAGAGGTCGCAATAGAAAAGGACCATCTGATTGAAATGCTCCATATCCTACGGTGTCTGGATGACCATGGAAACTAGAGCACCTTGAGAACATCGTTCAAATTGGTCATGCGGAAATCTGCAACTGGACCAATCGACCAACAGGAAGTCAGGAAGACCTTCTAGTACTGCAGTTCCGATGACAATGAATAGATGTCTACTTATACTTTCAATTCACTCAGCATCCGAGCTGCGAGAGCTCCTCTGTTTGGCCGCAGACGAAAGGCTCCGTGCTGTCCGAGAGCCCTGGCACGGCAAGCAATTCGCTGGTGTGATGGTACATACACCTGACCACGTACCGACACACGCCTTGGGTGTGAATCATGTACATGTTGTAACATACTATAAATAATATACAGTAACCAAACCAAATCTGGCCCAAGATGAAGCCGCAGTTGGACTGCCAAATCCCCGTGTAACACTGGTGTTTTAAGACAGTGAGCTGGTCACTGTCAACTGACGGCTTGAAGCCACATCTTCCAAAACCGACCATTTGCTGTTGTTACATCAGCCGGGTCATGTGTGTGTGTGTGTGTCTTGACTTTCCAGAATACCAAAGCAAGAGCATAGGAACTGATGCACAAAGGGCGGTCTGATGATGGTTTTTCCGCCGACATCCTGGGTTCGCTGGGTTGAGAAGCTTCCTGGTTTAGTGTCTCTGGATTTCACTGTGTCTCCAAAAACCCAATGTTGAATCATCATTCGGGCATCAAAATGCCACAAGGCACAGGACCTCTTTTGAGGTCCAAAAGGTACGAATGGGATAACATACACTGCCGGGGCGCTCTTGTAAAAAATGTTTGCCATGCCACTCTTGTGCTAACACTCTTGTGCAATACTGTCGTTTGACACTCTTGCGAGAAACTCTTGCAGGGCACTCTTGTCACTCTTGTGCCACACCACACTTGTATGATTGTAGGACGCTCTTGTTTGACCTTCTTGTAAGGTTGTAAGACAGTCTTGTGTGTAAATCTTGTGGGATATTGGGCAAAACTGCAAAAAGAACGCATCACATGTGCAACACATGTGCACAATCAACGTCCGAATCTTCCGGTTCGAGCTGCACCCCATGCGATGTTTGGACTTGAGAGGAGGGAGACACGAAAGGGACAGCGGGAAGAGAAGAGAACGCGAGAGGCAGGAACAAAAATGCAATGTTCGACATGGTGATTTATCCCCTCGGAGGCGACCTTTCGTAAATATATGTTCATATGCTCTCGAAATGTTCAAAAAGATTCTTAGGAAAACAAACTTGCCCCATGGCTCAGATCATCGGTGAGCATTGAATCGGAGCATCATAGGATTTGAACTATCCTGAAACCATAAGAGGCTCACGAAGACGCTCCCCAGGAGAGAATTGATGTGCTTCACAAAACAAACTCTAGGTATGTATCCCCTCAGGGAACACCTTTCGTGATTAGAATTCCATATGCACTCTTTCTGAATGTTCAAGAGGGTTTCAACTATCCTGAAATCACGAGAGGCTCACGAAGACGTTCTCCAGGAGAGAATTGAATTTAGAGGGGGGGTCTGTATGGAAAAATCAATTCCAAGGGGGCGGGGGGGGGGGGGTGGATTGAGAAATCAAATCGGGGGGGGGGGTTGAATGATCAATTATTAGACCCGGACGTCCCAACACTTGCTTCGCAAGACAAACTCAAGGTATCCCCTAAAGGGCTACCTTTCGTGACATGTTCTTTCGAACAGTTCAATAAGCGAGGTACGGACCAAACATTGTCAATACACTGTGATCGCAGAAACCACACCTGGTAGGCCTACCAGGCCTACCAGGCCTGTCTGTTTCCGTGGGTCCCAGAGTCCCGGGCTTTTCACCTTGGAGGTCTCACACTGTCATGGTGGGTCCTTTCGGATCACCTCCATCCACAGTCTTCACCGCTGTCCAAATACTCCCCCTCTCTGTACCCGGCTGCGGGTTCCGTAGTGAATCTCAGTGTGGAAGCCACAGATCTCTATCTCCGAGCTTGACATTCTGGATAGATATGAGTCGAGGCAAACAGGGTCCACTTGGTTTGGGGTTTTTACACTGGGTTTTTACACTGTTCTTGGGGTCCCTCACATAGGATATTGCAAATGGCATGATCACGTTGAGTCCACGGCTGATCTTGCTGTGTCCTACAAATGCCTTGTAGACGTTTCACTTGTCATTGTACTCCACCCACTCCTATCCTTCTAAGATGCTCACTCACTTCAGCTTTCTGAACGAAGTGTCAAGCCATGTTGGACATGTTCGAAAACGAGAGCCCGACAGTTCGCTCCAAGTCACGCGCAGAAGTATGAATGGCCAGCAAATCCCCTTCACGCACCTTGGTGTTTGGTGGGCCAGGATCCCATTTCAGAGTCAAATAGCCCACAAAAGGGAAAGAAGAAGGGTGCTCTCATGCGCTCGCCATAAAGCTCAAGGAAACTTCTTTGGGGCTCTGCTCCGGTAGAGGCAGGCGTTCTTTCTACTAATCCACTATAGATGGTACACACAGTGAGGCCTCGCATTTCCTCTGAAACTCCATCCCTTAAGCCGATCTAAAACTCGATGGAAAACCCTTTCAGAAAGGTGAGTATCTCAGGGACAGTTGGACAGTTGCCACATATCTCCGTCTGTAGATGTCCTTTCCCTTTTTGATCCTGTCAGTCCCAAACCTAAGATACGCTCCGTGGTCCTCCATGAAACAATCATGTGACATAATCGTGGGACTGTTTCACTTTAACTAGGAGCAAGGACGCTACTAGGGGCTCCTGGCATCGCTACTAGGAACAAGAAGCTACTAGGGGCTCTTGGCCTTACTACTAGGAGCAAGGACGTTACTAGGGGGGTTCCATGAAATCATCCTTCACCACTGGGCCGTCGAAGCCAAGGAACTACGCCAGTCAGCACCTGGTGGCATTCGCCGATGTGTTTTGGCAAAAGGAGAAGATTTAAAAATGTAACATACTGCATACTAGCCAGAATAGCCACCGAGATGAGGGCTTCCTCTTCCCAACAAGGTGCCGCAGTTGGTTCAAGGATTTTGGAATTAAAAACAGCAAAAACAAACTCAAGTCTTGTTGTAATAATTCTCAGTCATTCTTTCGTCGCATCCAAGCCGCAAAAGTACAGACCTGGAAGATGTCAGCTGGATCATTATGGAGGATAATTTTGGAGGTCCTTTTTCTGAGGTCACTTTCACGGGCGGACAATCTGAATCTGGGCCCCAGACCACACCATCCGCATCAATGGACACTTCACGCGGGCAGCGCCTTCCAGGAAAGGAGAGTTTGGGGAAAACAAACTGAGAGTGCTATTCAAAACAAAAAAGAAAACATCCACTTTGGTTTTGTGAGTTTCGGAATATAGTTAGTTTCACCAGCGTGGTTTTTAGGAGGCAAGGACTTGAGAGCATGCGGCTTCAGAGCATGTGGGGCTCAAACTTGTAGCCCTTTACCTCCAACAACATCCTCCCACTCTCTATATAAAACACTCAGATCACAAAACCCTCCAAAAAGCGGGCAATCCCTCCCCCAACATCACCCTTTTTCGGCCAACCCGCTGAAATCTCATGCTCCAGAACTCGCGACCAACCTGCGACAGAACCGCGAGGTCTCGAAGAAGGCGCCTCCGATCCCAACACTTTTGAGTGCTCAAGGAGGCCAAGTCGCAGTAGCGCCCGGGCGGCAAGCCCGTCGCCATCCCTGCGCCAGCTGGACCCGGCGGACCCGGCGCGGACATGGACATCGCCAAGTCCCAAACGGCGCGAATCACTCAAAAGGACCTTGTTCCGTAGTCTCCACAACTATCAACAATCAAGCTGGCTATTCAATTCCAGACTATGTTTGACTGATCACTTTCTAGGAACAATCGCCAAAACAGCCAACGAAGCAGTTAGCCCCTGAATGACGCCGAACAAACGAAGACGTCATCTCTCACCCTAGACCTGGCAACCTGGCTCGAACCAGGCCAGCGAGTCACGAGTTTTTGTTACTAGTAGCGATGCACTTGTTTCTAATAGTTTCTTGTTACTACTAGTAAGGCACTTGTTACTAGTAGCGACGTAAAGAGTCCCCTGCCTGTTGTTTTTACCACCCAGGCCATCCCCACCATCTGCAAGTCGTGTTCTCTATCGCATTCCATCCACAGCTGGCACAGCTCATTGGGAAGTTCCAGTCCATTCGTGTTCAATGGGAACTGCCGCGGTTGATCCACTGGCCTTTCTGCTTCTTTCATACGTCCATGTTCTCGCCCATTGGTCTTCTTTCCAAAAAAAGGTCGAGGTTCTCCCAAAAAGCATCACCAAAACACAAAAAGGCGATCACCACCTGCCATGCCGTGCCTCGCCTGCAAGGCGCCAATCGCCCAAGTGACCCCAGGGCCCAGGCCACCGAGTGTTGAATCCCCGCACCTGAGATGACGCAAAAATGATGCGCTGAGTTCGTTCTGAGCTGGTTCAGCTGGACAGGATGAAGGTTGATTTTGTGCAGAAAAGGTGTGAGGGGTTTCACTGGCGTGAGGCTTAGTTCAGCTACAAAAAGTTGCATTTGAGCTCGACTCTTGCTCTATGTCGGAGACTGACTTGGTCTTGGCCGAGCTTTGGGCCTTTGAGCCGTGCTCAGCTTTTCACCCGAGCGAGCAGTCGTGGGCTCTCAGGCCGTCAAGTTCCGAACGAACTAGTCTAGCGATCGGTGCTGCTGGAGTCCATACGGTGTTTGATGTCCCAGACGGCAAGTGTGCTCTCCACGTCGCAAAAGTCCCTACTGCCTACTGTACTCCTTTTTGGTCATTCCAAGAACATGCAAGAACCACCACTTTCCAGCCACAATCCGTTCTCGGCACGTGCTTCTTCTCAGGTTTTGCTGCTGCGTCGGGGTTCCTTCCACGGCACGAGCGCGGCGAAGCATTGCTGTTGACCCTGGGTGGCTCTCCACGCGTATTGTCCCAACGAGGCAGAGCCATCGCTGGAAGACCAGATGCTGGTGATCGGCAAGCCGCGGCAGGCCTGATGAGAGTCAGCGTATTTGGAGAGTCAGCGTATTTGGGCCACTGACGGACAAATGGTGAAGCCTTTCGAAGAATAGGGCATCCAAAAAAAGACCGTGTTTTGGATGCTAGAATTGTTCCATCAAGTGTCTCACGCAGAAAAATGCACGGTGAAAACCGAACAGATCCGAACAGCCTCATCTCCCAAATGTGGCCCACTGCTTCGGATTTATTCTTGAGGAAAACATGGGACAAAACGCCCCAGAAAAAGGGCTGGGTAGGTCAACTGACTGGGTAGGACCCAAGGCTAGAAAAGCAAGTCAACCCAGTTGCCGTACAACCAAGCACGGTCACCAAATCCCGGACCGTGCGGCATGCTTCGCTCTCCGTCGCCTGACGGAAGTTGATCAGCCCTGCGATGCCCTCCCAGCGGTGCTCGCAGATCCAGCCCTCATATTCCTTCTCCTGGTGCAGCTGGCGCAGTTGGGATGCCAGGGGAGCTGTGCAGCTCGCGCAGTGGTGCTTACAGCAAGACCCCCCTAAACCCTAGTGGCCGTGTATATGTGCATAGGCTAGGTGTTGCGATTCCCCATGGCCGTTTTGGCAGTTTTTCCGCACGACTTGCCCCGGGACCGCTGTACCTCTTCGGAGAGCGGCGAGTTCTGTGGAGTTGGCATACACCTGGCCGCGGCGAGGCGCAAGACGAGATGCCACGGGTATCTCCAAGCGAGAGATCGTTCGAAAAGAAGTCGTCTGGACCACTGGTGCTTCTTCTGCCCTTCCAGAACTTTTGGAGTTCTATGAGGAGCAGATCTGGACGATTCCTTCGTGATATTCATTCAGAGTCGGCTTTGTAACATCTATTCAGTCACACTAGCAAAAAAGACTTTCTCTTGGAGCAAGGACGCTACTAGGGGCTCCTGGCCTTACTACTCGGAACAAGAAACTAGGAGCAGAAACAAAAAACCATTCAACATCTGGAAACCAATACCTGGGTTTGGCGAACGGGGACGAACTTACTTGAAGGTGTACCCAGCATCTCCGGGGCATGTTGGTCTTCTGGCTAAGTGGCCAATGGGAAGTTCTCCGAACTTGGCTCTGCCTCCCTCAACAACTGGCTCTTCACCTATGTCTGTATTGCCACCACCGAACTTCAAGATTGGCCCCATGTCCCGTCACCTCCGAACCATTGGCACTCCTTCTCCATGAATTCCTTAGCACGACAACCTAGTCCATCCTCTGCTCATAAGCTCTTTCCTCCGCCCTGCCAGCGTGCAGAGCTATCTGCTGCTCCCCAGCACCACCCATTTCGAAATCGAAGTGGACCTGGGCTCTTCGTCTTCGAAGAGGTAGACCGGGAAGGGCTGACACCTGGCCATCACTCGGCATGGAACCCTCACAGGGCAAGCTTGCCCGTTTTGCAGCTTTGCGGCCTTTCCATGGCGGCGGCCATGGGTCAAATTCATGAAGACATGAACCCCATTGAGTCGAGAAAAAGATCTTCAGAATCGGGGAAGACACGTGTCACTTATATACTTAAATAAGGGCGACATCTACTCCACCGACATGCATCTACACTGCTCTTTTGAGTGGTGTGTGGTGGGTTCATCCTCTCGATCACCAGACTCCGCAAGCAGTTTAACCAGAACTTGCCTTCCGTGGCGAGTTCTTGCATGTGTTCAAAACCTCCAGCTCGTACGTGTGCAGTGTGCAGTGTACTTTCTGATGCCAAGTTGATCAGACAACCTCCGCGCCTGCCGTTGCCACACTCCCCGGGAGGTCCGGCGTCCATGTTCGTGAACGTGTAGCCGCCCCAAAGCCGAACAGCCATGCCCTTGGGCCAGGCCTGAAGCGTGGAATGCGAAAGAAGGTGGAGAGATGGGGCCGCCTTCTTTTCGCTGGTCGCCCAGCTAATCAATTCGGAGAACTGCAAGGATGGGTGTGATCCTCAAATGCCGGAAAGTGCTCTGTGAGTGCTTCGATATCCCACAATGCATGTATATTACATGCATCTTTGTCTTTATATGATGCAAAATAAATGGTCCTGTCAACCGAACTGCAAACCACATCATGACAAAGGTTGCAGAAGATTCATCTCAGAAATGCACGGTTTTGGCGGTCCACGCTCAAAATACCTCACCCCTCACACGCCACATCGTGCCCCGCGCCAGCAGGAACTTCTGCTGCTGGTGGAACTCTAAGCCATTCATAAAGGTGGGAATGAAGCGGTCCGCCTCCCATGTCCTTCCGGCGTCAGTGGGGCCGGTCGGTGTTTGGGAATGTGGTTTGGAGGGCCCAACTGTCGGTCGTTGGATGGGAGGAGGGAAGAGCCGGGAAGAGCAAGCGCTTTGGCACGATTCGTATTGCAGGTTGGACATTGGGGAACTGTGCCCTGTACTTCCAGGAAGAAGAGAAGTGTTGAGATGCCTTGCTTTGGAGTGTTTCCCCCTAGGCAGGAATGGAAATGTTTGAAGAGGAACCGTGTACATGCGCTGTCTCTGGCTGTCAGAGCCACTAGTGTTTCACATGCACAAGACGTGTTCTCAAACGATGCCAGAAAGTGCTTGAGGTACCTTTTTGTTGGTCAAACCTTGGGGCAACCGGTTCGTGTTGGGTATGGCGAATTCAGCGCCGCATGCGGCCCCGCATGCGGACGCCGACAGCTAAGGCCGCAGGTGCCACAAATTGCCACAAGGTCGGCCACAAATCCAACGTATTCGGTCGGGATGTCTTGGACTTCGAGAAAAAGAATCCGGCAACATGTGGTGAGACTCCAACTTGACACTTTGAGGCAAGGTCTTGGATTGTTGGTGCTCAAGCTCTTGGGGTGGCATAACACCCAGTCCCTGTGTGTGTAAGACTGCCAGCTCCTGGTAGTAAGGGCAATGCAAAGTTTACCATGTGCCCGTTACCAGGTTTGACAAACAGATTTGGATAAAGGACGCCTCCAAAATGCGCGAACCAGATGTCCCAACACGGCAAGTAAGAAACCCAACAAGCAGGATGGTACACGGCACACCCATTCCAAGAATGCCCCTCCACCAATACCAACCCGAGCGAAATGGCCTGAGCAAAATCCGTGCCTGGAGGGTTCAAACTAATTCGCCACAACAAGATGTCTACCCACCTTCACATGATTGTCCAGCTTAACTGCTCAAATATTTGTTAGTAGGTTGGAGGCCATTGCTATTATTAGGTTGGAGGCCATCGTTCTTAGGTTGGAGGCTATCGTTTTCCTTGTTCCGTCGTGTGAGATCGAGGTCAACTGCGTCACCCAGGTGTGTTCGCATCTCTCCTGGCGTCATGGAAGGTCAAAGGATAGACAGCGCGCTCGGAAGGGATGCCCTCCAAACCTGTTGAGATGTTCAACATCTCCGACAAATAGTTCCTCAGCGAAAACTTGGACGCTTGGCTTTCGGACATCTACGTTCGGTTAGTAACAAGTGCCTTACTAGTAGTAACAAGAAGCTAGTAGAAACAAGTGCCACGCTTCTAGTAACAAGTGCCTTACTAGTAGTAACGGACGTGCATCGGATTTCCTTGAGCTCCGGCTGTCGCTCTTCGCTCGCAGCTTGGATGTTGAGCATTGGACCAGGACCAGGGTAATAGCTTCTTGTTACTACTAGAAGCGATGCACTTGTTACTAGAAGTGATGCACTTGTTCCTAGTAGCGTGGCACTTGTTTCTAATATTTTAGGCACGGTCCGGGGAGACCCCCAAACACAGAGCCTTGAAAAAGAGGGTGGTCGTATTTGTAAAGCAAATTTCTACAGGAGGAACCTGACGTGGCCTTTCCCATTCGTTCGCGGAAGTCATCTCAAGGCCGAGCGAAGAAACTTGGAAGTTGTTGGTGGCTCTGCGCCGCGGACCAAGTCAAAGCGTCAGACCAAATCGAATACCCAATGAAATCACAGATGGAGCAAACGTGGACTCCGGGAGCAAACGAGAGTCAACCCTTCTCCTCTTTGTGAAAGAACTGCGTTCGTCCTTGGACGATCCTCTCGCCCCATGTTCTCCAGAAAAGCTTGGTACATCTCGTGGTGTTCCGAAGAGTCGTTGTGTTCAAGAAACCTAGTAGCTTATTGTTTCTACTAGCTTCTTGTGTTACTAGTAGCGTGGCACTTGTTACTAGTAGCCTGTGTTCAAGAAATAATTAGCAGAACCTGTCCGACCTGTCCTTCCAGGATTTCTTCTGGATGTTGCAAAGCAATTTGGGCACGATCATGGCAATCATCACCGTCCATGGCGATCATCACCGTCCATGGCGATCATCACCGTCCAAGGATCACATCGCCAACTGCCAAAGCGTTGGTGATCCTTGGGGGTCAAAGCTTGGGCGACTTATTCCAGTCAAAAAGCTCACGGAGATCGACATTGAGAAGTGGAAAACATCCTGCTAAGGGAAGCTCGTTTTCCTAAGGGTCATTCTCCGTTTTCATGCTTGATTTTTGGGCATGAACACCCCGTACTATGGGTCTCCGAAATGCTGGGCATTAACACCGATGCGGGGGTTGACCAAAGGCCCCGGAACCTTCCCTGTTCGGGGAACCAGGAACGATGTGGAATCACTTTCTTGATTTTTCTTGGCCTTCTTTTTTCAGTGAATCCCTGTGGGACAACGCTCCCCATTGCCCCTGATTCCGAAAAACTCCATGTTGAATGGCTCCAGAAATGTGCAAAGCCAAACAAACTGCTGCATTAGATGGTTGCAAAAACATGCCAAAAATAAACAAATGAACCACCAAAAGAATCCCAAAAATATGCCGTGTTCGAGGCCGGAGAAATCATGGAAGGATCGCGGGCCGCCCACTGACCAAGAGACGCATCCAATTGATAGAACGTCTTATCGTCAGGTCCTTTTGCTTTCTAGAATGCAGCAAGACAAATCCTGTAAGAGAGTTCCTGAGACATGGATTTCCGCATGTACTGATATCTGCTCAGTGATCTGCTCATGTATCTGTGTCCATTTCTGCTCGAAAAGTGGGTTCCCACTCGGGCGATCTGGTTCTCCCCCAAGCCAGGCAGCTTTAAACCATACTTCTGATCTCGGTAGTGCCCAACCGCCTCGCTGCGTTCCGGCGCCGGGATGCCGCCCCACCACTCTTGGTGCCTGGGCGTGGCCATGGCCGGCATGGCCCACCATGGCCCAAGCCGGTTCTGTCACGTCTTTCCAGTTTGACATGAAGTTGGTAGGGGTGTAAGATGTAAGTTGGTACACCTGTGTACCACAGATCGACTCATGGTTTGCTTCGAAGCGGTTCTTTCAGGTTTGCTTTTGTCCCTGGGGTATGTTCTCTCAGGGTCTGATTCTCATGATTTGCAGTTGTTGCCACCGGGTCAGAAACCGAACGTGTAGTGGTGTTCAGTTAACGAATTTGTTGAATTCCTAATGTTGATTTTCCGACACAGTGGCCATTTGATGAGAAATGGGCCGGGGATGATTTTGTTCGATGTCTATTTTTTCCGTCATCTCGACATGTCATGAACCCCTCTGCGGACGCTGGGGCTGCGACCTTCAGTGGATGCATTTAATTTTGGTAGTGGCCGTGCGCGACGCGCGAGAATCCTTTTGCAGTTTGCGCTAAAGAACTTTCAACATGACTCTGACCCTCAGCCGTGCACCAAACAAAAAAACTCAAAAACCAATACTGTTATATAATGGGTGTCTTCTGTTTTCAACCTCCCACAACCTCAAACATATGGAAACTTACATCATTCAGTCACTTCACTCTGTTGTGAAATGCATGTGACGGTGCGTTCGGCTTGCGACCTGAGGGGTAGTTTATGACCACCGAGGGGTGGTCTGGTTGGCGACTGCTCTGCCGAAAAATGCCAGCCAGCTTTGGCCTGGGCGGCCATTCTCTCATTTGTGACTGAGCAATGTGAGTATGCCTCAAAATACGAAAGGCCCCAAGATGACGAACACATTTGTTGTTGTACAAAAAATCTGTGTATATATATTATATATACATATAAAGACAAAAATGTTTCCTTCAAAGGATAACTATGTACATGTATGAACCCGGTTGGTTGGACCGAAAAAAACCAACACTACAACTACAACCTGCCACCTTTGCAGCTACAGTGTCAGCCCGTGTCGGCTGTGTCTTACTAAATAAAACGCAGCGGACCAGACCACTGATACTTGTTGTTAGTCTACTAACCCATTGACTATACCTACAAGTCAACAAGCTAGTGTTTTCACAATCTACCTTAAGATTAACTGTCTATATCGCATCTGTCACGTTCTGTTTTGGTGCATCTGCCGAGCAGCACCACGTCCCACGGCAGCTGATTGATGATCCTCAGCCGTGGAGAAGTTTTGCGGACAGAGATGCCGTATGCCTGTTTGAGGAAAGTTTCACCAAGTGAGGCCTGTCATAGCTTGCTGTTTATGCATCGGTTGGGCCAACAATTGGCGAAGGAGCTCGCACGGCACAGAACCTTGCAAACTCCACAACCGAACCAGTGGTGCCTTACTAGTAGTAACAAGAAGCTAGTAGTAACAAGTGCCACCCTAGTAGTAACAGGTGCCTTACTAGTAGTAACAAGAAGCTAGTAGTAACAAGTGCCACGCTAGTAGTAACAGGTGC